GCACCCTTATCTCGTAACTACGAGAAAATAATTATCGTGCACTTTATGTGATCACGCGAATGCACAATTGTCATATAATACCTATTATATCGCTACATGCAGACTTAGTTTTAAACAGTGGAACTGATGTGTGTGCACGTATAGCCGTTCGTAACGGGACCGTCATCGCTTTTGATCTCTAAATCCCACAAAACCGATCCTCGTGTTTATAATGATTCTGTTCATATTTGCTAAACAATTGCAAGATTTCATCACGACGAATCCCCAGTCGAAAGTAAATCCGTACAAACTGGGCATTGACTCGATCATTAAACCGAAAGTGCCAGCCAAGATCACGCTAGCTTCGACATGCGTTCAATACACATCGTAACGGGATGCGCACACACTGAAGTAATTATTGCTATCTCGTAATTACGAGATGAGGGGGGCAAATTTTGTTTTTCCTTGGTGGCAGCAAGGCGCTTCCGTAGAAATGCGATAGGCTACTCTGGAAAATAAACTTCCTCCAAAGCTGAAAATGGATGTGCTCTTTGAACGTAATGTTTAGCATCACACATTCGATGGAAGCAACATTTTATGATACGGCTGTTGAGTTGTTAACGGTTGTTGTGAGATGATAAACACCGACGTGGTTCTGTGTTTAAATCTCCACCAGTAACTCAAGGAACAGGACTCCACCTGGCGCTGGAGCAGTGAGGGAACCGGAACGTCTAAAATTTCACTCCATAGAAGAACTGAAATAACACCAGTGACATGTGATCATTCTCTCTTGCCAAACTAGAGTACTGTTCGTGCACTAGATAAACTGATCATTTCGGCACCTGAAAGCCCAATTAAACAACAGTGAAACTTTCTAGACCTACCTTCTGTAATGCCTCGAAGTCACTGCGGACCAGACCCTTACTGGCAAAATGTTCAATTGCGGCTCCATGCGGGGGGTCGGCAGCTGACGGGTTTTCCAGCTTCCCCAGCGCTGAAACAAGTCAATCAACTATCGAAACACAGCTTGTACATCGTGTTTTTCTTTGGGCGAAGCTGATATTTTAATCACCACGATGCCATATGTAGAAAAGTCTTCTATGTCAAACATTAATTGTATGAACTAAAGATAAAGATAGACTGATACCTACCTATATTTTTTAAAAAAACCACACAAAGCAGTATTTCACTTTGAAATTTGAGCTCGACCAATTTGACATACACGTCTACAGTCACGATCGGGTACCGTGGAAATTGTCATTTAATTATTTACAAACATTGTTTTCTACGTGTTCATTGACTACTGCAGAGTAAGTGGAAGAGCACAAATACCCCAGGAAGGACTGACCTTGGGTGTCCTCTTGAGAGACACTAAAGAAAGATATTAAAGGACTTAGGCTTGCGCCACAGATACGTAGATCCCACGTCAAAAATAAGGCTGAAATTGCTAATAATGGATTCATCTACGTTAGAGATGGGTGTTAGTGTTAGTTCACTACACTCCCAAGAAATGCCAAACGTACGCCCTGCCAAGGCGAAATTAAATGGTTACTATGTCATTGAAAGCCAAACGCATTTTGATAAGAAGGCAGTGATACGCAAACAGAAAAGTAAAAACGGTTTTGTGTGCAGAACACACAACGTGTTAAAAGGCTGGGGACATGACTTAATATAACGTCTTCTTAGATATAACGTCTTTTTTTCAGGGGGTGACCTTGCCCTGCCCCCCTACAACGTCGTAGGGGAACCGGACCGGTCTCGATCGTTAGTGCTATGTTTGTGCCGTTGAAAGTAGCGTCTGTGCTGCTTTCGTTCCCGAGATATAGCGCCTTGTTTTTCCGGTAATCACGTGGCCATGCACGGTGACTTTGACCTCCAGCTCTGTTACAGTTTAGCTCGTACCCTTAACATTTCAGAGACAATCAATATCCATTAACATATAGAAAATATGTTCCTCCTTAGATGTGAATAATACTAAGACATGAGGCATACCATCAAGTTAACCATCTACGACATAAACCTGTGGTTGTAATGTATGTAAAATCGCCGTGATTGTAAGATCTATGGTTTTTATTTTCTAACGCACGTTTTCCTTTTCTTTCCCTACCGTGACACGCCGTAACCAAATGCGTAACTGTGGCATACCATCGCGACACGACCTCCGCAGCATGTCATGATAGGGACCAAATGTATATCGCATGTACAGTATATCGCGGCAGTGTATATCACGACTGGCGCCTTGCTTCCGTGCCACCCTGGCACCGCTGTCGCAACAAAGGTCTCATATCAGGACATGATATAAGATAAGATTTTATTGTCCCCTGAGGGAATTTTTTTTTATGGACACCCAGCACTCTTGTACATTTAAATAGAGTAGAATGCAAAAAAAAAGAGATAAAAACATTGCACATTTTACTATTACAAAAAATAAGAAAAACATTGCACATCATTCTATTATACATGTACGGTATAACACATAACAACATGTAACATATATAACACGTCACAAAAACATATTGCACTCAAGTGGGTTGTAAGAGTCAAAATTGTGTTTATCCTTGACATTTGCGTTGACAGCTTTAATGGATAGTGGAACAAAGGAATGTTTGTATCTGACTTACATTTTGGAACCCTAAAACGTTTGCCAGAAGGAAGAAACTGATATTCAGAGTTGAGGATGTGGGAAGGATCTGATATAATTTTCCCTGCCTGTTTGATTAGGGATTTTTCAAAGATTGTCTGCAGGGAGGGGTGCTGTTTCACTCCCATGACTTTCCAATCTGTCTGGATGATGCGGATGAGGATGAGAATGATATACCCAGACAGGACGTGTCGAGATACAGTATATGGACTTTGTGTTGCGACATGGGGTCAGGATATCCTGTCAGGGTATGTCCTATCGCAACATATGGACACCATGTCACGACATGGGGCTGGGCATGTCATATCGCGATGTAGGGACTTTCATGTCGTGACATGGGGCGGGGCATTTTTGCCGGGGTATGCCATATCGCGATATGCAGGCTCCATGTCGGGACATAGGCGTGACAGATCTGGTCATGTCGCGATATATTGACTCCATGTCGTGACATGGGGGTGGGCTTTTTTTGCGGGGTATGCCATATCGCGATATGCGGGCACCATGTCGCGACATAGGCGTGACAGATTTGGTCATGTCGCAATATATGGATTCCATGTCACGACATGGGGGTGGACTTTTTTATGTCAGGGTATGTCATATCCCGATATATGGACTTAAAGTCGCGACACTGGCGCCATGACAGTGATGCACCATCGCAATGGGTATCGCGATGTGCGCACTCCTATCGTGATATGCTATCGGAGTCGTGAATGCGCTGTGGATGCCATGACATTCTTTGTCTGCTAATCCGTTTTGACCTCAGTGCGACTTCTCTTAGATTGATTAGTAATTGGAAACCAATGGGTGTGTTACTGTATATCCAGGGTGCTCATACAGCACACAGTTAACCGGGGCTACAGTATTTGGACCAAGAAGAACATCCATCATCTGTATGTTCTCGGAACTTCCGCTGTGGCGCTTTACCCAATCAGAGTGTCGATTCTCACTCTTCACCCAATCGCGGCCCGAGCTGTTCGGGGGTTTAGCCAATCACGGGTCTGAGAGCTGTTCAAGCCAGCAGCGCCAGGCGGATCGGCTTGTTCACTGTCACTGAGAATCTATTTTTTAAATGCTTTACTTATTTGCAAAATAACTACATCGGCTTAATTTTTTTAACGTCTTTATTGATTCACAATGTCCCGTACTCTTAGAAATAAATACATTTTTAATTGCAATATAACTGTCTCCGCTGCTTTCTGTAATGAATACATGGAATTTGATCAATTTTAATCGTATATTTAAGGTAGGGGAAACACCTTCTGGTTTATACTTCAAAAATTAATATAAATGTTAAGTCTATGATCATTGTATTATTATGCTTGTGCTTTCAATTTTGTTTTTTTTTATTGTTAAATTATATCGATCTTGAAACTAATACTTAAAAATGTGAATATGGGCTCTCGTGTTGTACCAGCCTTAATTTGGAAACTGGTGTCTCTTCACAAATGAAAGGAGTACGCAAGCAATAACATTTTCGAGAACATGTTTAAAAATTAAAATAAAACACCTAACCCAATGAACTAACATAGTAACTCCTCCCTAAATAAGTGTTTATCCGCGCAAAGTCTGGGGTCGACTTATCAAAGATCACAACTTGAAAGATCTGGTGGTCGTGACTTTGCTGTTGTGCAGTCAGGAAAAGAAGGCGCTATATTAAAATATATTGGAACATCCACCCCACCCGACCAGACGGACTCGGAAAACAAATTGCCCCCATTGTTTTCATCATAATCAGGAGTTCAGG